GTGAAATCCACTGATCCGGGCCTTTTCACTATTGGTGTCCACAGTGGAGAGATCAGGACACAGCGGGACATTTCTGAGTCTGACAGCATGAAACAGAACCTGATTGTGGCGGTGAAAGATAACGGACAGCCCTCTCTCTCTGCCACCTGCTCCATGTACTTACTGATTGCTGATAACTTGGCTGAGGTGCCAGAGCTGAAGGACATTTCTTATGATGAGAAGAACTCCAAACTGACCTCCTACCTGATCATCGCGCTGGTGTGTGTGTCCACCTTTTTTCTGACCTTCATCATCATCATCCTGGGTGTGAGGTTTTGTCGCAGGAGGAAGCCCAGACTGTTGTTTGACGGAGCAGTCGCCATCCCCAGCGCTTATCTCCCTCCTAATTACGCAGATGTTGACGGCACAGGAACTTTACGCAGCACCTACAACTATGACGCATACCTGACAACAGGTTCTCGAACCAGTGACTTTAAGTTTGTGACGTCATACAATGACAACACGCTGCCTGCTGACGAGACTCTGAGGAAAAGTCCAACTGAATATGCCGAAGCGTTTAGTCAGTTAGAGGAGTCCCTAGAGGTAGGCCCCATTTTTTTGGTTATAGATGTTTAATCATTCAATGATCACTTTTATTTAACTTGCCAATTTATTGTCTTTGTGCTGAGTGTGGGTTAAGGTATCATGTTAGAAGGTGAGCTTTGAAAAAGTTTCCACATTAACCTGAAGATTTGCATCACTCTTGTTTCACTTGTAGTTTAACCCAAACGTAGGCTGTTCCGTTGAATTATTAATTAATTTTTTCAGAACTTTTACATTTTATCTTTCCACAAATTCTTTTTTAGAATCTGTACTGTGGCCTGAGGCGTAAAATGTTCAATATCTTATCAGACCTGGGCTTCATAGTGTAGCACTATAGTTTTGTAATTATCACTGTTATCACAAAATATTCTTAGTTACTCTTATTACTAGTTTGGTGATGCCTTCCACCTTAAAGCCCTTATGTACACGACATTTGATGACTTCCTAACTCTTCAACAGTAACTTTGTAACAGCAGTTTCATAAATTCAAATTGTTAGGTATACACTTTCTGGTTTAGAAGGAAAGGATCATAGCTGTATAGATACTTTGGCCTCTTCATTAAAATATGTCATTAGTTATTTTTTCAGTTCATTCCAGCACTTTAAGTATATGCATTGTAATGCTGTAGAGCTAGTTAGACATGAGAGTGGACTGCATTCAGGCTGTTGGTGTTGTTTGTTTGTTTGTGATGTTTTACGCTACAAGCTATAGAGGTAGGAAGCCATATTTCTGGGTCTGCCATGTTCCTCTTCCTGTATGTTTTGCACTAAACTGCAGTTTGGAACAGAGTCAACTATCTGCAAACACATGCAATTGTCAGGTATGGGATTTTAGTCTTAAGGTGCACCTGATCTTGTCTGGTGTTCAGGCAAACTTTAAGACAACACAGACTGCTGTTGAGCACAAACACTTAACTGAATATATTACATAACATAATTTAGAATCACTTGTTGCACTTTATTTTCTGTTTGCAATTCACTTTGGTTCATAATTGATTCTCCAATCTATCCAATATACATTTGGTATTGACATGGTGTGTTTTTGTGTGTGTTATACTAATTTGTGTAATTTGGTATATTGTCATGTTTGTTTAATTTGTTTAGTGATTTCTATCAGTTTGCTTATGTTTTAATTGTGACTTGTGAAGAAACTACAGATGGAATTAGCATTGAGCTAATTCTCATATAATATATGAAATGGTGACATTTATGTTAAGTATTATATTAAGTCCCTTTCAAACCAAGTAAACAAAAAAACAATCATGTAGAAATGAAAGGTGTGTGTGTCACTAAATGGCACTGGTTCAGCTTAGTATAACGTTTTGTACACTGTGAGTTTGTAATGTTAGACTAGCATGCCGTCCAATGTGAAGATGATACAGCCACACTATATACTAGTTGTAAATGCTCAAATGATGGTTCACAGGATAATACACAGAAGAAATCCTACAGATCTAAACAGTATGAGGGCTTGAAATATTAGAATGTACAACAAACAGTCAAGTCTGCACACTGAAGAGATCTGACTTAGGTTTATCACCTTATTGTGATGTTTCACATGTATATAAACACAGATCAATTTAGCCGTTGTCAGACTGTTAAAATTTTTATTTTTTTTAGTATGGGGAGGGGTTTGTTTCCATCTCATTCTATCTCTTGTAGTTCTCACAATTAAGGCCCAGCCATATGTTTGTGCATTAGTTTATTGTCAAGTATTGAGTGTGAAAGTGTTCGTCATTTCTCTTGAAAATCCATTAGTAATTTTTTAATAAGGGACCTAACGTCTCTTGGTTTATCCTTAGTGTATTTTACTAGCATGGAAGTCACTGACATTGAAAATACAAGCATGTGCTGTGGGTTGGGGTTCATCCTCTGCTATCAGAAGTTCATTTGGATGTGATCCTTATTCCTCTTTTATCAGTTCAGATTTTAATTTGGTGTAATTTAACATACAGTCCTTTACTGAGTGTGATAATGGATGACTTTTATGTTGTTAATGTGGTCTATTTAACAAGTTTAAAGAAATAATTTCATGTATGGTTCAGGTAGTCAATTTTAACTCTGACACTCTAGGGTGTCTGTTGCAATATTTGATTTTGGCATGGGGTGGCCTTACCAATTTTATAGATTTAATCAAAGAAGTTATTTTCCTAATACACACATAAGAAAATCCAGCATTTAAACTACTATAAAAGGGTTGTGGCTGCCTGTTAGCAAGTTTTCTTTGTAGGGTAGGACTGTTTAGTCACTTCCTACTCTGTGTCTGTGATGCGAAGAGGTGTCATGCTCCTCTCTCTGAAGGTCTGCTTAGGTGGTGGTTGATATATAGAATGCTACGTATGTTTGTCACCTTTCAACAGCTTTCCATTATGTTTTGATTTATTATTTGCTTCTTCAATGGATCATAAAATATAGCACTGATTACTGGAGTACATCGTCTTCTGCAGTTTCATACGCAGTATGTTGGAAGTATTTGTTTTATGGTCATTTATTAAAAAATGGAATGAAGATACATTTTCACTACTCTAAAACTAGATTCTCCATAGAAAATACATTCACACACTGCAGATAAGGCAAACACAGCAGTTGCTTGGACAAGTATTACACAATTTATGACGTGTTTATAATCAAATAATGAATAAATTGCAATACATTAGGTGTTCATCTAGCCAGTGAAGTTGTCAGCTTGCTTTAGTTTTGAGTGCTATAGCTGACTGAAACTCTTGGTGTCACTGTGCACCAGTAAAGGCAGAACGTGTCCATTTCTTCCACCGTTCTTTCCACCATTGCAAAGGGTTATTGTGGTGCGGTGTGTCTGTCGGTTAAGGACAATACAAAAGGATTACACTGTGTGGGATAACAAATTACAACGAGGAAGACGGTCGTGTTTGATCACTTTGAAAGAACTTGCCCGGGAAGGATGGACGTCTGGCCGACCATGGGAAATCAACCATACAGAGGATTTTCTATGAATCGCTTTTGTGTTGTCTTCCTCTTCCTCAGTCTGCGTTTCGCATGTGGAGATGTGAGCTACTCTGTTGCGGAGGAGATGGAACGCGGGTCTGCGATTGGAAATATAGTCAAAGATCTAGGCCTGGGGATTGCTACGCTTTCTTCACGTAAAGCTCGCATTGACACAGACAGGAATGACAAGAGGTATTGTGATATTAATCTGAGCACCGGCAGCTTGATTGTTACAGACAGGATCGACAGGGAAGGCCTTTGTGGTAAGAAGGCGAGCTGCGTTTTAATAGAGGAGCTGGTTTTGGAAAACCCTTTAGAGCTTCATCGTGTCAGTATTCATGTGGAAGATATAAACGATAACTCTCCACAGTTCAGTGAGGACGTGATTTTATTAGAAGTAACGGAATCAGCAGTCAAAGGAGCGAGATTCGTACTCACTGAAGCCCATGATGCGGATATCGGCACAAATAGCGTTCAGAGATACACTTTACAGAATAATGAGCATTTCACTCTTAATGTAGATTCAGTGGGCAGTGGACGGAAACAATACGATTTAGTTTTGGTTAAAGAACTAGACCGAGAGCAAGAGAGGGAAATAAAATTAGTTCTGACAGCTCTAGATGGCGGTTCTCCTCAGAGATCAGGTACTGCTATCATTCATATCACTGTGCTGGATGCTAATGATAACGCCCCAGTATTCAGCCAGGCCGTTTATAAAGCCAGTCTGCCTGAAAACGCACCTCTAGATACATTAGCTGTTGCAGTGAGCGCTACCGATGCAGACGCGGGACACAATGGTGATATTACCTATAATTTTGATCATGTATCTGGTGATCATGTCTCTATCTTCTCACTTGATCATAAGACAGGAGAGATAAGAGTCACTGGCTCTACTGATTATGAAACGGAGACCTCAATTGAACTGCGAATAAGAGCAAAAGACGGACCAGGTCTCACCTCATATTGTACAGTAATTATAGATATAATAGACGTTAATGATAACCCGCCTGCTATCAGCGTGAAATCTCTGTCTAACCCTGTACCCGAGAACGTGTCAGCTGGTACAGAGGTGGGCATCATTAACGTACAGGACAGAGACTCTGAGACTAACAGACAGGTCCGCTGCTCCATTCAACAAGGCGTCCCCTTTAAGTTGGTTCCTTCTATTAAAAACTATTATTCCCTGGTGACCACAGGACAACTGGACCGTGAACGGGTATCTGATTACAACATTACAATCACGGCCACTGACGAGGGCTCTCCACCTCTGTCCTCCTCTAAAACTGTTCAGTTATCTGTAGCAGACATCAACGACAACCCACCTGTGTTTGAGGAACAGTCCTACAGCGCATATGTGAGTGAGAATAACAAACCTGGCTCCACTTTATGTTCCGTCACTGCTCGAGACCCCGACTGGAGACAAAACGGTACAGTGATTTATTCTGTGTTACCTGGTGAGGTGAACGGTGCCCCGGTGTC